ACTTACATCTGGTGTCACAATAGCTTGGATTTAAAAACAAAAAACTTTTTTCACTGTTATAGATTGAATAGCAGTCAGTGTCCTTAAAGCGGGTGTATTACGCTAACAGTGGATACGGTGACCAGTGCCACCACTTAGATCTGGTGTCACAATAGCTTGGATTTAAAACAAAAAAACTTTTTTCACTGTTATAGATTGAATAGCAGTCAGTGTCCTTAAAGCGGGTGTGTTACGCTAACAGTGGATACGCTGACAAGTGCCACTAATTAGATCTGGTGTCACAATAGCTTGGATTTAAAAACAAAAAACTTTTTTTCACTGTTATAGATTGAATAGCAGTCAGTGTCCTTAAAGCGGGTGTGTTACGCTAACAGTGGATACGGTGACCAGTGCCACCACTTAGATCTGGTGACACAAAGCTTGGATTTAAAAACAAAAAACACTTTTTTCACTGTTATAGATTGAATAGCAGTCAGTGTCCTTAAAGCGGGTGTGTTACGCTAACAGTGGATACGGTGACCAGTGCCACCACTTAGATCTGGTGACACAAAGCTTGTATTTAAAAACAAAAAACACTTTTCACTGTTATAGATTGAATAGCAGTCAGTGTCCTTAAAGCGGTGTGTTACGCTAACAGTGGATACGCTGACAAGTGCCACTAATTAGATCTGGTGTCACAATAGCTTGGATTTAAAAACAAAAAACTTTTTTTACTGTTATAGATTGAATAGCAGTCAGTGTCCTTAAAGCGGGTGTGTTACGCTAACAGTGGATACGCTGACAAGTGCCACTAATTAGATCCTGTGTCACAATAGCTTGGATTTAAAAACAAAAAACTTTTTCACTGTTATAGATTGAATAGCAGTCAGTGTCCTTAAAGCAGGTGTGTTACGCTAACAGTGGATACGCTGACAAGTGCCACTAATTAGATCTGGTGTCACAATAGTTTGGATTTAAAAAACAAAAAACTTTTTTTCACTGTTATAGGTGGAATAGCAGTCAGTGTCCTTAAAGCGGGTGTGTTACGCTAACAGTGGATACGGTGACCAGTGCCACCACTTGTATCTGGTGTCACAATAGCTTGGATTTAAAAACAAAAAACTTTTTTCACTGTTATAGATTGAATAGCAGTCAGTGTCCTTAAAGCGGGTGTGTTACGCTAACAGTGGATACGGTGGCCAGTGCCACCACTTATATCTGGTGTCACAATAGCTTGGATTTAAAAAAAAAACACTTTTTCACTGTTATAGATTGAATAGCAGTCAGTGTCCTTAAAGCGGGTGTGTTACGCTAACAGTGGATACGGTGACCAGTGCCACCACTTAGATCTGGTGTCACAATAGCTTGGATTTAAAACAAAAAAACTTTTTTCACTGTTATAGATTGAATAGCAGTCAGTGTCCTTAAAGCGGGTGTGTTACGCTAACAGTGGATACGTTGACCAGTGCCACCACTTATATCTGGTGTCACAATAGCTTGGATTTAAAAACAAAAATCTTTTTTCACTGTTATAGATTGAATAGCAGTCAGTGTCCTTAAAGCGGGTGTGTTACGCTAACAGTGGATACGGTGACCAGTGCCACCACTTATATCTGTTGTCACAATAGCTTGGATTTAAAAACAAAAAACTTTTTTCACTGTTATAGATTGAATAGCAGTCAGTGTCCTTAAAGCGGGTGTGTTACGCTAACAGTGGATACGGTGACCAGTACCACCACTTATATCTGGTGTCACAATAGCTTGGATTTAAAAACAAAAAACTTTTTTCACTGTTATAGATTGAATAGCAGTCAGAGTCCTTAAAGCGGGTGTTTTACACTAACAGTGGATACGGTGACCAGTGCCACAACTTATATCTGGTGTCACAATAGCTTGAATTTAAAAAAAAAAAACTTTTTTCACTGTTATAGATTGAATAGCAGTTAGTTATCTTCAAGCAGGTGTGTTACGCTTACAGTGGATACGGTGACCAGTGCCACCACTTATATCTGGTGTCACTATAGCTTGGATTTAAAACAAAAACTTTTTTCACTAAGTTATAGATTGAATAGCAGTTAGTTATCTTAAAGCAGGTGTTACGCTAACAGTGGATACGGTGACCAGTGCCACCACTTATATCTGGTGTCACAAT